TAACTATGATGATGATGATAATAATAGTAAATTGGTCATGTGACTAGGACATAAGGGTGTCCAGGGAGTCCAGGGGATTAATTGTCAAATTAATCATTATTGGCTAAATACCACAATTAATCGTGATTTTTTTTTGCCAATATTGCCCAACCCTAGTGCAGCATCTTGAGTAAACATAAAGAAACAAACAAGTGTGGGACCTCCTCTGGTGGACCTGTGAAGAGTTCCCCTTTGAACAACCCAAGATATAAGTTTCCAAATGTAACCAGTTAGTTTTGATTCTAGACCCGACACAAACAGTGACTAAGACAGGAAAGTACAAAACAAAATGAAAGCAAAACTCAAAATCAAAATGAGACTTGGACTTCCACATGAAAGTGTGAACTTACAGTAAACTGTTTAATTGCCCGATCTCTCCCAGTTTACTCCACTAGATTTGAGTTTGCAGGTGGAGAAGGTCACAGATCATTGTCAGTCTGTGAGAGAAAATATTCAACACAGGTGCTGTTAAGTTAGAAAAAAGGCATGCATGTCAAGTTGTATGGATTGTCTGTAATTACACAGATTTCCTCCCATTTTGCAAGTATGCGGACTTATAGAGAAATCTCATGATTTTTTTCAAATCCCACAGATTTTTTTTTCACGAACTCTGCTTCAAATTTATTTCACATCTAAGAGCCTATGGGACATAAAAAAGCCAATGAATAAAATAAATAACCATCTCTCAACCTGCTCTGCAACTAGAAATAAGTTTCCCCTCTTTGTATCCCATGCGAGTAGTACGAATCTTTTGTGAAAATGACATACCTTTGAGGGTCAAGATACAAGTAAACGTCCGAAAGGGTTGACATGTATGAAATGGTCATGTGAAACAAAATCTAAAGATCAGACTTAAAGGGGAAATATGCTAAATCCACTTATTATTTTGTTGTGAACTATGCAGAACATTTAAATTTAATCTCTCCCGGTTCTGCGTCATATTTTTCAACTTGTTCAGTTTTCTCTATTTCCAAYGACATTTTCTGAACTATTACTTCAAATTAAGGTATAAACTTACCAATTACAATTTGGTGGTCTTCATTCTCCTCTGGCTCTGGGTCAGACTCTGGCTCCAACGTGTAAGGCTGAATGGACAAGTCTTCTGTTGTTGACATCTTTTAATTAATTTGTAAATAAAAAAACAGTTTCTGTGCTTCTAGAAAGTCATAAACCCATCTATCAAACTGGAATTGATCTCTCTGGAAACTGGAAGGGGGCAGGGTGTGAAGCGACTCATTTGGATTTAAAGAGACAGCCTTAAAATGAGTTGATCTGAGACACACCTCAGAAAAGGGGTAGAAGAGGGGCTTGTGGAGTTACAATAAGGAGGAATTCCAACCAAAGCATTGCAGTTTCACTTTAYATAGACCCCAACTGAATGATTTAAATGTGAAAAAGAAGGATTTAAAAGCATGTCTCCTTTAATTGCAGCACAAAGCCTCACATATCACTGTCTGAGCTGACATGACTATTGTTGAAAAGATTTGATATCTGTTACAAGTCTTCATATAGTATTCACTTATTTTTCTGAAATGTTTTATGACCTTAAATAGTTCTAGTATTATTTTTTTTTTGACAGTGCTGGTTAGGAGTTCCTAATGTAACAATCACCTGACAGGACAGGATAGGTAAACAACTGGAAAAGAATTGGACATGACGTTGAGCGTTCGCATCTTTTTTTTTTTCACTTTTTCA